CCATGTTTGCATAGCCCTTTTTAAAATGATGCTTTCATGACATTATTGTGTGTTGGGTGGCGGTCACGGCTATCCAGACTGACAGTGGGACATTGAATGTCACCTCTCCGGTGGGGAGGGAGCCTGAGATTGTCCAAATTTGAGTTTGTTTTATACCAAATGCAGAAAAAAATGTTTTAAGAAAGCAATTAAGTTCATGTTCCAAAAAATATGATTGTTTGCTTGCAGGACACCAGGAGAGATGAGTCCTCCGTCACAGATGGTGTGGTCAGTGAAGATGGTCGCCTGCAGGTTCAAGCTCATTGCATCTCCAACCCACATCCACTGCCACTGTACTTAAGGGAAGTTAAAGACTTTCTTCTGCACCTACATTTGGATCACCTCGATCCATGACAGTCATTCAGGCAGTAATGCCTGGACTGGAAACAAGCCACCCTTGAAATAATACAACATTCCAGCTCATGTGTTGGAATGAAAAACAAATGTGTTGTTTAAATCAGAGACTGCACTTGTGACAGAACTACAAATATTTTATTTCGGTTATATAAGTAATGTAAGTACAAAACAAACTTGTGGTAGGCCTAAACTTATTTTCAGAATAATTACATCTGAGACTTTGTTTCATTGTAAGATTATAACAGTGATGGCAATATAATTGCTTGTTGTTCAGCCAAACAGTGTCCAGTATGTTGGCTGTTATACTTTGTTGTGTTTGAAAATAAAAGTTGGGCTGATTTTAACGTCATTACAAAAAGTGTTGTTAATTATTTTTAATCATATTCAGGTTACCACAAATAGTTTTTTCATTCAGTTGAACTTGAAATGTTTGTCAGTAGGTAAACAATTAGTATTGTACAGTCAGAAATATCAAGTTATTCTTAATACTGCAGACTTGCAATGATGGCTGTTGTCCTAACAGTCATCTTAAGTAAGCTTTACTTAGTTCTTTTGAGGCGACGAGTTTACATAGTTTTTTTGAGTTCTGGGAACTAATTAGATTTTACAGTGTAGGACTGCGCTCTTCTGAACAGAGATCTCAGATGTTGTTCCTGGGATCTGCTGGAGATACTCGCCTAGCTTGGGAGTCACTGTACCTAGCGCTCCGATTACCACTGGGACCACTGTTGCCTTCACCCTCCACATCTTCTCTGAGCCCTTGGTACTTCTCCTGCGTCTTGTGTTCCGTTGTGTTCGTTGCTGACATTCGGTATTGCTACTACTGCCCGGCCTCCTTCCTTCAGCTTAGCGTACAGCTGAACTTGGGGTGAAACCCTCATGCACAGTAAGGAGCTTCCTGGTCTTGATGTCAGTGGCTTCCATCGCCGCCTTTGGCCAGCTTATTACCCCAGCAGGGTACCTGATCACAGGCAGGGCGTAGGTGTTGATAGCCTGGATCTTATTCTTACCATTCAGCTGACTCCTAAGGACTTGCCTGACCCTCTGCAGGTACTTGGTGGTTGCAGCTTTCCTAGCGGCCTCTTCATTTGCCTGTGGGATTCGCAGGTACTTTAGCTGTCCTCTGTGTCTGCAATATTGCCTTCTGGCAGTTCTGACTATCTTCCTTCTCTTTGTTATCGTCTGACTGCACTTCTCTAGTCCGAATGACATCCCGATGTTATTGCTGTATACCCCGGTGGTGTGGATCAGTGAATCGATGTCTCGTTCACTCTTGGTATATAGCTTGATGTCATCCATGTAGAGCAGTTGGCTGACAATTGCTCCATCCTGTAGTGGGTATCCATAGCCAGTCTTGTCAATGATCTCACTTAGAACCACAAAAAGTTTTTTTCTGTTCATCTGGATGTAGCGTTTTCAGTGGGAGAAATGTTTCATCACTCATCCAAGTGACTTTTCAGTCTCAGCTGACTGCAGGTTTCCCCAACCTTATAAACAGTGCTTTTGCACAAACTAGCCCACTAAACAATGGACTGTGAGGTCAGTTCCTTGATCATTACTGAGTCACTTGGATGAGTGACCAAACATTTCTCCCACTGAAAACGCTACATCCAGATAAACAGAATCAACTTTTGGGATTCACATACCTGGATGACTGAGCATGCATCAAGACATCACATTGAGGAGGTTCAGGCCTATGCAGAACAGTACTGGGGACAGAGCATCTCCTTGGTAGATCCCGCAATTGATGGTGACTTGTGCTGTTTGCTTTAAGTTGGCCTTTAGTGTTGTTTTCAACATCCCCATTGAGTTCATGATGAAGGCTCTTAGGCTCCTGTTGATTTTATACAATTGTAGACATTCCAGTCTCCAGCTGTGGGGCATCGAGTCATAGGCCTTCTTGTAATCAATCCAGGCAGTGCACATGTTGGTCAGCCTAGTCTTGCAGTCTTGGGCAACTGCTCTGTCTACCAGTAGCTGGTGTTTTGCTCCTCTGGTATTCTTGCCAATCCCTTTCTGTGCCCCGCTCATGTATTGAGCCATGTGCCTGCTCATCTTAGCTGCTATGATGCCAGCAGCCATGTGGTAGCGAGGCAGGTTATTGGCTGGTAGTTGGATGGGACTGGTCCCTTCTGGGGAACCTTGGGGATCAGGACTGTCCGTCCTTCAGTGGTTTATTTATGCTGCCAGACACTCATGAAGTGCAGTCAGCTCTTCAGCCAGAAGGCATAAACCATGTCGGGGCCTGGTGCTGACCAGCTCTTCATACTGGAGACCCTTTTTTGAATGTCTGCTACAGTGATGGTTACTGGATCCTGTTCAGGGAGGTTGCTGTGGTCTTCTCTTAGATCCACTAGCTACTGAGCATTGACATTTTGGTTGTGTATTTCTCCCTTATGTTCTTCCAGTATTGCTCCATCTTCAGCCTTGGTGGTGGTGTTCTCACATTGTTCTCCTGCCACTAAGAGTACCTCTTGGCTGGTTCTGAGAGAACAGCTGGTTTATTTTCCTGCCTATCTCCCTGTTATACCATACTTAGGCCTACTTCCTTCCGTGCTACCTTGATCTTGGCCTCTAGTCTTCTTCTCCATGGAGAGTACTGCTCCTTGTAGCTGTTCAACTTATAGCCAAGCATCTCACTGATCACTGCTGAGTGCTCCGATTACCATTGGGACCACTGTTACCTTCACACTCCTCATCGTCTTGAGCTCTTCTGTTAGCCCTTGGTATTTCTCCTGCTTCTTGTGTTCCTTTTTCCTGATGTTGCTCTCATTCTGTATTGTGTCTCCCATTTTGACCTCGGGATTTCCAGGCCATACTCGGCACAGATGTTTCTGTATACTATGCCGGCCACTTGGTTATGGCGTTCCATGTATGCCATGCCTGCTAGGGCTAGCAACTTGCACCCTGCTGTTATGCGCTGGATTGTATCAGGGGCATCTTTACACAGCCTGCACCTGGGGTCTTACCAAGTGTGATAGACCCCAGCCTCTATGGATCTTGTGCTCAGAGCTTGTTACTGTGCTGCCATGATTAGTGCCTCTAAGATGTCTTTCAGTCCAGCTTTGTCCAGCCACTGGTAGGATTTCTGGATGTCAGTCACTTCTTCTATCTGCTGGTGGTACATAACGTGCAGGGACCTGTCTTTCCATGATTGTTCCTCCTCTTGCTCCCATTTCTTAGGTTTCTGCTTCCTGAGGTATTCACTGAGCACACTGGTGGCGGCCATCTTTCTGGTGTACTCGTGTTCGTTGTCTCATCCTGGACTGTGGTAGTAACACTCAGTAGTCCCCGGCTTCCTTTCTTCCACTTAGCGTGCAGTCTCAGGGTGCTGTACTTGGGGTGAAACCCTTCATGCATGGTCAGGGGATTCCTCGTCTTTTATATATATACCCACATAGCAAAATTGGTATGGCCCAGATCTAGCCCACACAATGTGCTTACACATGGCCCACATACCGCCATCAAAGGCATTTTGTGGCCCAGATCAGGTTTGCCAGATGTGGCCCACACATGGACCAGCACAAGGGCAGTTGCAGACACACTGGAGGTCCTGTGCTGGCCCATGTGCTACCTCTGGTAAACCTGATCTGGGCCACCAAAGGGCTGTCAATCTTTGCTGTATGTGGGCCCAGTGTAAGTTGTGTGCAGCCATGGGTCACTTGCAGACACACTGTTCTGGCCCTGTGCTGGCCCAGAACAGTTTCAGCTCTGGTCCCAGATGTCAGCCTAATGTGTACCTTAATCAAGCCATGTAATAACAACATGTGTCGGAACATAACAGTGCAAAAGTAACATGACAAAACTCTGTTCAGACAGTGAATGGACTGATTCTTATATAGCGCTTTTCTACTCTCCCAGATTACTCAAACTGCTCTATACAACATGGCACATTCACCCAATCACACACTTTCTCTAAACTGACTGCTTCCTAACTACATTCATACACATTCACACTCTTGACATGCAGACTGGAGGAGCCAGGGATTGAACCACTAACCTTCCAAACAATAGGTGACCTACTCTACCTCCTGAGCTACAGCCACCAACTGGCTGTAGCTCACAGGGTTTTGAATAATGTGTACACCCACAAACCTGTCAAAGCCACATGTGAAACGTTGGCTACCATAGCAGTATAGTATTGCAACATGGCATTTGGGTCTTTTAACTAAAGTAGGAAAATAGGAACATAAATAGTGCCATCATTGCCGGACCTGGCCCAGATCTGGTTGACATACACCCTGCCATGACATCAGTCAGTCAGAAAAAGTGCCAGCTTGATGCTGGATCCGGGCCAGACCTGTTTTCTATGAGCCTGGGCCACACACAGCAAACCACAATCAGACCAGATGTGGCATGCCATCACATAAACAGTGCCATCTATGCCAGGCCTGGCCCATATCTGGATGATATACCACTTACCACACCAGAAGTCAGCCAGCAGTGCTGGCTTGATACCAGATCCGGGCCAGACCCGTCTGCTATGTGGGTATATATATATCAGTCAGCTCTTGGCTGACTCATGAAATGAATGGATGGACAAACACATACATAATAAAAGAAACATAAAAGACTCTATGAATGTTCTAAATGAGCTGTCTCACCACTGTATGGCCCCTCTTTGTCCTTCCGGCTCTTTGTTAGGGAGCAGTATGGACGTCTCTCTTTCACTTCCATAATGCTTCTTCTTATGCTGCTGGCAAACATACAGGCATACTGCTGTACAGCTGCGTAGACAGAAAGATAAACAGAAAGAGAGAGAAAGACAGATGAATAAAAAACAAAGAAGAAAAAATGAGTGAGAGAGCGCTAGACAAAGAGTGAAGGGTTGTTGGTCCACCTACAATCACACATAGGGACAAAAAAGTGGTAATATGTTCCAATGGTGTTGTCCTGCAGTTACTGTTAAAGTTAAACATGACAGTGTAACCTGCCATCGCCAGGTACCAGAATGTGATCTTGACTTCATTACAAAAATCACAACCTGCATTCTCTTTAATTGTGTCCTTATTTGTAACCTGCACAAATCTCTGACACGCAAAAGCAGCAGGCTTAACTGGTGTGCTTACAGATGAAGATATACCAAAAGGCACATTCTGTGAGTCATGCAAAACGTCTGTGTTGACACAAACTCACACACATAAAGACACTGTAAATATGCAAAGTATAGTACAGTATATTGCACAGAAAAAATGATAATCGCATGTATTTCATGATTAGTTACACAAAATATCTGCAGCTGTTTGATTGTTTTTTTTTATTAAGTTTTCTTTTATTCTTTTGATGTAGTTTTAAAAATTTAGATAAAAAGGAAAAAACACGTAGATTTTTTCATTACAATGGAATTCCCTAAAATACTTTCAGCGTAACCCACGTGTATCCAAAGCTCTTCTAACATCTGCTTAATGTCTCTAAAATCAGTACTGAAACCATAAAGTCAAAGTCTGCTCAAAGTCAGCTTTATTGTCAAAAGCCATATGCACAGATCATACACAGGCATTTGAAGTTGCAAAGCTCCCATGGCCCTCAGTGTACACTAAAACAATATAAAGATAAAACGAGGGAAGAGTTGAATGCAGGTCTGGAGTTCCTGTGTGTGAGAGCAAGGAATGAATTCAGCATCCTGACAGGCTGATGGATGAAGCTGTCTCTCAGTCTGCTGGTCGAGAGAGGCTCTTCAGTCTCCTTCCCGAAGAAGCTGTTGGAGGGATGAGTGGAGTCACCTGTAATGCTTAGAGCTTTCTGGATGAGGCGGGTGCAGTAGAAGGTGCTCATAATGGGTGTTGAGGCTCTTGCTCTTCTCAGTCAGCAGAGGAAGTAGAGTCGCTGTTGGGCGTTTCTGACCAGTGATGCTGTGTTTTTTAACCAGGAGAGATCTTCTGAGATGTGCTCACCCAGGAACTTGGTGCTGTTTACCCTCTCCACACCAGCACTGCTGATAGTTAGTGGGGTGTGCAGGGTGTGAGTTCTCCTGAAGTCTATGATGTTCTCCTCCTTCTTCACATTCAGGGACAGGTTGTTGTTGCTGCTGTGACCTACCACAGTTGTTGGAGCTGTGTGATGGTGTGCAGTTGTGGGTCAGCAGAGTGAAGAGAAGGGGGCTCAGCACACATCCATGGGCCTCATCAAACTCTGGCTGCAGATAGTGTGGCATTGGAAGAGGAAAACAGGATTCAACAACTCACCTCACGTCTTCTCAGATCCCTTCCAAGCTCTAACAATGTATGCCCTGACACCATAGCAGCTGTATGTAATAAGCATCTTCTCAATGGGAAAAGTGAAAACTCACCTTATGTCATTCTAGTTGAGTCCTTGGCTATGAGTGCTGATGCCATTCCTGATGCATACAGTGATGTGAGATGCGCTTAGTGAGATACTAAGCAGGTGTTACATTTGCAAGCCACAACAGCGTTACGACACCAGACATCCTTGATGTAAACACAGAGTCCCTCTCCACGAGTCTTACCCCCTTAGACAAGACCTCTGTCGCTGACCTCTGCCAAAAGCATGTTAGCCAGTCAAGTTGAATGGCACTGTCGGGAATGTTATTGTTAAGCCAAGTTTCTACAAAGATGAAGACACAGCGCTCACTTCAAAGTGGACCGAAGTAAGCATACAAGATCCAGCTTGTTGTCCAGGGAGCGCACGTTGGACAGTACAATGGTGGGAATAACAGGTTTGTGTGGTTTAGCTGCTAGCCTACTCCAGACGGCTCTGTGCTTACCCCTCTTCCTCCCACACCACCTGAGACGTTTCCACTGTGGGCAAGATCTAGCAGGGGGGGTTGCTGATGGTAGATGCCCCTGAAGCAGTCCACAGTTCCTCAGTGTAATTTGTAGCTCTTCCATGTGTGAAAAGTTTGTGGATTTGCTTCTGTTGATTTTGAGCAGGAGCTCATGACTGTATGAGTCTGTTCATCTGGGTGCAGCGCTTTAAGGACAGAACAGAATCAACTTTTTGGGATGTCCTTACCTGGATGATTGGGCAGGCATCAAGACTGTTCTGGAAAAGCTTGAGTAACACAACACCCATGGCACTAAACTAGCCTCAAAACTTTGTCATTCAAACAGGTCTATTGTGTATTTCCATGGTGGCAGTGAGGTTTGACAAAGTCCACATATGGTGATAGTGTCATAAATCAGAAGACCAACACATCTAATATAATGCTACCCAGTCTGTTCCAAGCTAATGACAAGCTGTCCTGAAAAAAAAAAGAATAAATAATAATAACAATAATATTTATTTGCATAGCACAGAGTTACAAAGTGCTTCACAGTTTGAATAAAAGTTAAATTCGACACCTCACTGCATCTCTTGACTTCACTGAGTTGACCCACACGACAAAGCTAGCTACCAGGTATGAGCGAAACTAAGAGAGAACACTAAGCATTTGCTAGAGGTCTCTCTCTCCTGGTTAGGAGCCATGGATCTGGTGGATGTAACAACATGCAGGGAGTTTACAGATATAGCAAGAGGAATTTAAATAACCTAGCAATGTTTAAACATTCTGTAGCAGTACGGTTAGAGGGAAAATAAATATGTAAATTAAAGTCACCTTATAAATAATATTGTCAAATTTCACAACAACAGATGAGAGCAGATTAGAGAATTTATTCAAGAAATCACTGAAGGGTTTGGGAGGTTGCTAGATATTACAACACACTGTATATTCACACAAATATTTGTAGGACAGTTATTCAGAGGAAAAAAAATGAGCAAGAGTAAGTTTAAGGCAGGGGTGTCAGTCATGCCCCCCGATACAATTATATCCGGCCCGCGAGATAATATCATGTGTCAGTTATTAATGGCCCGTCGGTACGTTGGAGCTGAATCGTCAGACCTGCTGAGAATCCACGCAGGCAGGGCTGGGACTTTATTTTGATGGCCACACCATATAGCCAATCACATGCAAAGACAGACATAGATACCATTATGTGAAAGACGGAAGTGGGCAGACATCTCCAGACAGCAAGGGTAGTGGTACAGGCCGGTTATACAGAGAGATGGGGAGCTGGATTTAAATGCAAGCTTGTCAGGAAAAAGTGAAGATATCAGGGAAAACGTAAAATGTGCAGCATCTGGCTGCAATGATACTGGAGACTGCAAAGCCGAGTGCAGAATTTATCGAATTAGGAGCTCTCTAAAGCATCCATTTCTATTTTCATCCATTTTTCATTGTGGAGAACAAAAGGTTTCAAATTTGTCCAGGACCTTAAACCTCATGTGTGTTTCTTAATCATGTAGAAAAACTGTTAAACATGTAACTTCTTTACACTGACAGAAAGGGGAGTTTCTCTTGTCCGGCCCACTTAAGATCAAAGTATAAGTATGTGGCTCGCAAAGTAAAATGAGTTTGACACCACTAGTTTAGTTATCTTATTAAAATTTAAAATTTGTAATTAGATGTTTCTGGGCATTTCTCCAGTGGTCACCGAAGCCATGTCAGAAACGTCACGTCACTCTGGAGAAGATGACCAGGTGAGAACTCAACCGGTCATTCAGGTGCTTGAGCTTTCAAAAGCATGGTGCCACTGGGCCCAGCTTCAGTTTTTGGATACCATCCTGTAGCAGTGATTATGCTTGTAGGCAATGTCCACACCTGTCTCAGTCCAGTTCTTGATGCTTGGAAATGAGGTGATAATTTTGCATGTCCATCTCCTGCTTTATGAGTATCAACAATTACTTTTCTCAGGTTTAAATTGGTTTCTTTAATTTTTGGTGTTTTTAAGTGGCATCTCCAACCGTTGCTGAAGTTTTTATATTGTGCGTAAATTAGAAGATAAGCCTCAGTTTCAACTTGATTTTACAACCATTGAGCATTATCAGGTTAAAGCACATCACTACATGTGTGCAAACAGAAATTATTTATACTTTTTGCCTCACCTTTACATACAACTCTTTTAATATTTTTTAAATGTTGCACTGGAGCAGGGGTCGGCAACCTTTCTGATGATGAGTGCATCTAAAATTTCCTCAGAGGTCAGTGTGCCATATGATTGCATTAGCAATAAATGTAATAATGCTCTATATTAACAGTTACACACTATATAGAACCACTTTATAGGATTATATTTGTTCGCAGATGTTGGCAGCTATCAGCGAATAGTTATCAGCTATTTAGAAACAAAAAAAGACTTTTTATCCACAACAGCAAATGAACTGAACAACAGAAAATACAAATGCTATTTATGGTCTCCTCACAACAGTGATAAGAAGAATAAACTGGGCCAACATGGCATGTTTGTTAATACAGAGACACACATGTTACTGTGATCTCTGGTCTCCCACTCAGACACACAGGTCTCCCAGTGTCCAGCATTCAGAGGCTACCTGAGGACTCATGTGAGAGAAAACCTGCTCACACAGACATGTAGAGCCAAACACTGTCAATAAGGCCTCTGCAATGTTCTGAAGACAGTTAAACCTGTCAGGTAGTGATGTCCAGCAGGTGAACATGCAGCTCCATGAACACACACAGCTGTGGATTCCAGCTGCATCGATGTTGCATTAACTGGCATTAACTCAGCCAGTTAATGTGAGACAAAACCAGCTGCTCATTAAAGCTTTATGGTTTGAGCAGAAAAGAAAACTTTGGTCCAAACACCTGAAAGTCCCAAAATGCATTGTGCCTCGAGTCTACGGATGTATCCATGTATCTCTTTGGTGCTGATGCTGTGCTGAGCGAACAGCTGCTGAAGCTTTTGAAGTGTCTGAATGTGGAAAGCTA